ATGCTCTTGATCTTTGTGGCTAGAAATGCAGCTGATGAGGAAACCAGATGGCAATGAATAAGACTAGACAATCTGAGCTTTTTTGTGTTGACATGTCAAAGTTATTAGGTGCAACTTTCACATGTATTTTTAAGAAACTACATACCCCACCGTCCCACATCAATTGTTTTTTCTTATTTCTATCATGTTAAAACGAAATGTATACAGGCCTTACCTGCGTAAATTCATATGTGGCTGAGGTCTGTCTTAATTATCAAAAGAAACAAAAATACTTCCACCTCTTATTGTATCTTTCTCTATGTTAATTTCGATAAAAATATTAGAATATAAAACTATAACTTTCAATTATTTATAAGTTTGGTGTTTTTGTTTGGTAGCATAGACTTTATAGTATCAGATAAATCCTTACTCATATTTTGCTGGCCACAAGTTTCTAAATCAGATTAAGAAAACAATATGGCTCCGTGAAGCTAGATTCTATCTATGAAATAAAATTTAACTTGCGGGGACATATGTTAGAATATAAGACTAGCCCTCAACTCACAACTTCAGAGTTGTTTAGATGAGAGAAAAAAACTTTATAGTATAAGATAAATCCTTACTCATATTTTACTGGCCACAAGTTTCTAAATCAGATTAAGAAAACAATATCGCTCTGTGAAGTTAGATTTCTATATATGAAAGAATATTTAACTTGCGGGGACATATGTTAGAATATAAGAGTAGCCCTAAACCGTCACAACTTCAGAGTTGTTTAGATGAGAGAAAACATAGTTGCAAAGGATCCTTCAATCAGATTTATTTTCTTTCTTTAATAACTTGGACTTTCGTTTTACTCTGATGGGCTGCATGCGTGGCCCATTACCTTAATTATCTTCTGGTGTTGCTGAAGTCGGCCACGGACTGATGGCCCACCATTTGGACACTTTTTTTGTTTGTTCATTTTACTTTTTTAATATTTATTTTGGACCAGCCTGTTGTTTTTAAACATGATAATTCTGCCATTCGATATGGTTTGCTGTTTAATCTCCGTTAATAATTCTACCATTCGATATGGTTTGCTGTTTAATCTCCGTTAATAATTCTGCCATTCGATATGGTTTGCTGTTTAATCTCCGTTTGAGTCAGTTATTTCAATTCTTTTTGTTTAAATTTTAAACCAGTTTTCTAATCCCATGCAAAGCACTGCTTTAACTTAATCTGTCAATTATCTTTTTCGAAACATATGTAAACGGGTAATAGATTAAATTGGTGAAATCAATACTTACCAAGATTTTTTGAGTATTTAAAGTGTAGTAGTCTACATATAAAGAATTTTATATTAGTAGAGTTAATTGTTTGTTGGAAAATTTGTAATAAGAAAATAAAAGAATTGAATTTGATTTATTCTCTCTAACTGCTTAGAAAAAGAATGTTTACAACTCTCTCAATCTCGATTACAATTTGAATTCCTGATTACAAAAGAGAAGAGAATTGATGTAAATTCTCCCATTTGTTTAAGTCTGGGTTCTTTACGGTGGCGATGAGATGCCTCCCTCGAATGCTCCCGTCGAGTTTGCTTCTCATTGACGATACGAACGTCTTGTTTCATTGGAATGTGGTTGGTTCCTCTTGATTGATGTCGAGGATAACTTACGTAGCAAGTTTGAAGATAACTTTTAACAAGTTTAAGAACTCAGAGCGAGTTTGAACTCTGTAACAGAGTTGATTTGAATCGAAAATCGGTTTTTAAGCCAAGTACCAAGCTCCAAGACCTTTGGTGCCGAAGGACGCTCCAAGATGATCTGCTCAAGAGATTGCCGATCTCTTCTTGTGCGATCTTTTTGATGCAAAAAGCCGATCCCCGAACTCAATTGAGTTTCTGGTATTTATAGGAGATTAAGAGGTGTAACCGCCCCCTTAATCCAGTCCTTAATGGGGGCTTAATTGCCCGATTAATCGGGTGTAACAGCCCCTTAAATCGTTCCCCAAATCGTGGGGAAAACGGTTTTGAAATCGTTCAGTTCGTGCTTTGAACGAGTCAAACGCCAGTCTGGGCTTTTTGATAATGAACTCTGCGTTCTGGACTTGGAACACAGAGTTGAGGACTACGTTTAGGCTGAAACACAGTGGTCGCACTACTTTTTGAACTGGGAACGCAATAGTGAGCCATGCGTTTTGAGTCTGGAACGCGGCCATGACCCCTGCGTTTTGAGTCTGGAACGCGGCCACAAACCTTGTGTTTTGACTCTGGAACGAGGGCATGAGCCCTGCGTTTTGACTCTCGAACGCGGGCATGATCGCTGCATTTTGACTCTGGAACGTGGGACCCCTGCGTTTTGACTTTGGAACATGGACATGACCCCTGCGTTTTGACTCTGGAACGCGGGCATGAGCCCTGCATTTTGACTTTGGAATGTAGAGGTGAGCCTCAGGCGGGCTTGACGAGCTTCAGGCTAAGTCCAATGTTCAGGGGAAGTCCAGTCTTGTAGACGGACTTTAGAACATAACTTCCTGCGAAGAACATGTCATAACTTTCAAACCGTAAGTCGGAATCAGACGAATTATATATGAAAATCGACTATCTCGACGAGACGGAGCCAACCAAACCCACCCTATAGGGTTCGATTTGCTCCTATCTGTTTCACCAAATTCCTTACGGTTTGAGAGATATCTGCGTTTTGATTTGAAGAGACCGTCAATATGTAGTCTCTTTTGCTAGAGTGTTGTAAAGATCGTCATATTGTAACCTTCGTCTTGGCTTCTTGAAAATGTGAGAGTCGTCAGATTGTAACTCCTGCTGTTGATTGTGAAGGCTATTAAATTAGAGCTTTCATTAGTTTTTGTGAAGGTCATCACATTGCAACCTTCATCGATCTACGTGAAAGTCTTTAAATTGTTGTCTTCTGGAAGCTATCAGATTGTAACTTCCATTATTAGTGTTTGATGGGGATCAACTATCTGTAGTAATTTTTAGACAACCTACAGATCCCCCTCTAAAGTTTTTAAAAGTTCACGGTTGACTGTGACGAATTTTCGAAATACTTTGGATCTCAACTCTGATCTTGGAGCTGTTGATTCCTTATCATAAAGGAGTTGTTCTCTGCACCCTCTTCGCAGGCATCTTGGTTGAAGAGATTTGCCATGCAGGACTTGCATGAGGATGAGCTTCGAAGAGAAACTGTAGCGACGATACAAGCTACTCATGCGCAGAAGTTCTCAAATATCACATCACGGCTCACATCCATTTAGCTGATAAGCCTACAAACATGCATAGGATTTTTAATAAACCCTCAGCCATCAACGGATTTGATAAACCTTTACCGACTACTGTTTGAGTCGGGCTATCATGTGAATTATTTGAATCCATTTCATATGTAACGTTGTGCTAAGAGAATGAACCCTCTTAGACTTGATGCTATAATTTTGAATACATAGACTTTGTCATTTTCATGAGAAAAGACTAACCGACAACACGTGTTAGGCGTAGACTTATCTCTAATTAGAGATCGAGATAAAGTCCCCCAGACGTAGATTCTGGTGTCTTTTTCACTGAAAAAGACTAACATGTAACGTGTGTTAGGCGTAGACTTATCTCTAATTAGGGATCGAGATAAAGTCCCCCAGACGTGGATTCTGATGTCTTTTTCACGACAAAAGACTAATCAGCAATGCGTGTGTTTGCGGTGAAAGTTGATTTTCTCATTGTCAAACTCATTACAACTTCTTTCATTATAATGAGTTCAAAAAGTTAATTAAAAGTTGATCTTTTTATAAGATCTCTTTACACAATAAAAAGAATAAAAATTACAACTTTCTCTTAAAACAAATGCAGAGGACGTTTAACACCCACTGCTTACGTGGGATTTTTGCCTGTGCTGGGGAGGCGTTAGTCTGTGGACCGTTGTGGATTAGATCCGGTTGACAGAAAAGTTATTCAAAGCTCTTATTTCACAAAGGAAGTAATCAGAGAAGTGACAATCATGACCAAGTGAGATTGTAGCTCTTCTCGAGATCAAAACCAAGTTTGATCCAGAGGAAAAAAGGAAAGAGAGTTTCAGATCTTTCGAAGGCTTCCTCTTTATGATAAAGTTTGCTAAGATCTGCCGACTCTCCCCTGAAATCCGTGGTCTACTGTTCAAAATGATAGCACATCGTCCTCTGATTTCAGATCCTCTCAAAAGAAGACCCTGGGCTTCTATTTATAGGCTTTTGTCGCCACGTTTTCTGATAATATCAAGTATTTTGACATCATCTGCAGTTGATAACTGCGCAAGC